ATTTTTTATTTAATTATTAATACCTACCACTACTTAAATATTTTATAATATAGAATCTGTGAGATCTATGTACATAAGTCTTGACTATTGATGGTAAAATATGTAAAAAAAATTAAATTTATATGATAGTAATAAAAGAAGAACACCTGCAATGGTCTTCACAAATGTTTACCAAAAATGGATATTCATATTTTAAATTGTATCATTTCTTTTTAGAAATAACCTGTAACAAAATTTTTATCTTGTTTTAGTTAAACACTAAGTTTAACAAAAACTAATATAAGTGAGAAACATTGTTTTGTATTTTCACTATAACATGCATATCAAGCAAAAATTTTCGATAATCTCAAAGAAAAAATATTTTGAAAACCGAAGAATCCTTGCTATCAAAATGGACGCATTTTTTTTTCAGTTTTACTGGACGCTTTTTTTTTCAGTTTTTTATCACCGTCTTGCTTTGAGAGTATTATGGAATTTTAGAATTACCTACCTAACAGTATTAATTAGTAGATAAATAAAATGAATATGGGATAATCTTTAAAATTTAAGAATGACTTAAATCGATTAATCCGCATAGCCTATTTGAAATAGTCAATTCGATATGATTGGAATGCATTAAATTAAGGCGACGTGTGCGATGTTATTAATTTATACTGATAATAAAATATGTAATTAAACAAGATCAATTTAATTATATTAGTATATTTTAATATCGTAACTTACATATAAGTAATAATGTAACAAACGTACTTCAATTTGAGCATCTACGTCATTTATCATTAAACGCAAAAGCAATGTCATTTACCTCAAAAGGAATCATTCACCGCTTCACAAATTTTGCGATGAATGACGAAACAATATAAATATGTCCAAACTCGTAGTCTCAATCGACGATATACTTAATATCACGGGTGTTTCATTTGTAAGACATTAAATACTATACATACAAATAAGTTAAAAAAAAATTATACTTACTCAGCGCTTTGCCCAATCGTTTAATGACGCGATTTTATACTAAACTTAAATAAATTCACTTTATAACGTAATTTAACCATGAATACCTGGAGACTCGTTAGAAACACAGTTGAGGCTGAAGAGGTGCGAGAGGGTAGTCCAGGGAAATGCATGTGGATATTCGGATTAGACTTATTTGGTCGATTATTTTTGTAAACCTTCTTTGCTGAATTGAATGATGAAATTTTCGTGCCAAATTTCAAATAGTTAAATAACTATGTTAAGTATTTTTATTTATTAAAAAATTACTAATAAATATTCAGTATAAATGTATCTTATCTTGTAAGTTATTAATTTAAGCAAAATTTAGTAGCACATTGTACGATTTTGTTACATTAATAATCACCGTAATGACAATCACAGAGAGATGAATGATTTTTCAGATATTATTTTTAAGATATAAATAATATAGTATGTTATTACGTTATTTGATTACAAAGCTTTTAGATAAATTAATAAAAAACAGCTGCTGCTAATTTTTGTATAAAATAAAATTGAAGTTTAGTTCAAAAATGGCATAACATGAATAATGGACTATTTTGAAAATTCACCCTACCGCCTCGGTCACATGCCGCCAATAGCGGGGGCACCAACATTAGCGGCGACCATTTATTTTGCTCCTGTGCGTTAGTCGCGCTGCACGTTGTGTGGTTTTTCCATTGGGGATTCGATATTTGGTGCGTAAAATTATTTTTAATACTATTTAAATATTTATTAAAAATTTTAATAACTTGCATGTTAAATAACTATAGGTACACATGCGTACTATGCAAATTGTGACAAATAACTTCACTGTAATATTTGCAGTTTATTTAAAAAAAATACGGTGATGAATTATTTTTAAAGCTGTTATTTGTCTATTGTGTCGAATTTTTAAAACGTAACATGAGGTCTTAAATGAGTTTATTCCTAATTTTAAGGACTTATATGAAGACTTACGTATTGTTTACCTGTCTTAAAGCTAGTATAGGTAGGTACATTTTTAAATACTAAAAAGAAAGTTTAAATACTAAAAATTGTTCATTGGTAAAAAAAGTTAGTAATTGGTAAAACTTGATTCGTATAAGAACATTTTTGGGTCTTATCTGAGCGGAGGAGCCCGTAGAAACAACCTGATTCCCCTTAAACAGGCCCTTCGGACCTTTAAATTTATCGGGCCTGAGCCCGAGTAGCCCCCACTCCACTACATGAACATGTCACACAACTGGTAACAAATAACAATGCAAACCATTCGACGTAGAGGAAAAATGGAATTAGAACTATTTAAAATTCAGTTTGGATGTTAATTCATTTACAAGATGTTTTTTTAATTTGTTTAACCTCCTAACCGCCTGCGTACTACAGATAGAACGTATAATTTAAAAAAATCTACCCGTTTTATACGAGGTTTTAATTACAAAAGTAACATGTAACGACATCTTTTGGATTGTTAAAAATGTAAAAATGCATCAATTGACACGATGGGAGTTGATTCTTTTAGCAAAATTGGATCAAAGAACAAATTCGTCGACATGCACTCGAGCAGGAGTAAGTTTAATCGTATTTAATTGTCGTAACTATTACCTTATTTGTAATTTTTTTTTTTGCACTTATTGCTAGCTGAACCCAATTAAATACAAATTGACCTTTTATTTTTTGAAATAGAAGAATATGTTGCATGTTATATCACATGTTTTCTCTATGTCCTCTGCTTAGGACATATACAGAGTATTGAGACAAGATTAGGCATTTAATGTTCTATATGTAAGACATTAGCAGATATCAATGTTACAATGTTTTTTTCTTTTTTTCATAATCAAGAGATGAAAATATATTTGATGCCCCCTATTTAACACTGATATTTACTGTGGAATTCAGATTCATGGAACTGGGACAATTAACAAAGAATAAATAGTTAATTAATAATATAATTAATTGTCAATCAATCAAAAGTTAAAACAAGGGGTTGTATGTTGATTTTGATACCAAATTTTATTTTTTTATAGTTAATATACTTGTACTAACTTCATTGTAATCGGTATAGAAGAAGTTATTATTGTTTAGATTAAATTTTTGGCTAACAATATTAACTCGGGCTTGAAATATTGTTATATCTCTTGATCAAGAGAAAACTGTTTCTAAGACAATTTTGTGCTTTTATGAATATTTTTTTAAGAAATTGGTGAGTTTTGTTAATATACAAGAATATATTAAAATATATTATTTTTCCATTTAAAAATAAATAAATTTTAAACAAAATTGACTAAAAAATTAATATCCTTTTATTTTATTTGAGTAGTACCACCCTATTTCAATGAATTTGTCCTATACATAGGACGTAGAGGAAATCGAAATTTTCACGGCATAATTTTTTTTATAAAATTTTCCATGTATTCTTAGATCCTAAGTAGCAAACTGTTAATTGTTTTTAAAGAAATTCCAAAAATCAAGCATTCTGTAGTCAGGAGGTTAAGAAAAGAATGCTTAAAGAAGTCATAATATTCATAGAATTCAGCCTAATCATGTTTAAGTACCATTGAAAGTTTAATATTTTTGAAATGAACATAGCTGAATAGTGATAAATTGAATGCGGTTGTCAATGTAACTCAACGTTATTCATAAATATGAACTGAATTAAGAAGTAAAGGAAAAAAAAAGACTAAATACCTATACCGAAGCTAAAAAAAAGGAATTAAAAATTTGAATATAGAATTTTTACTCATTTTTTTTAAAACCTTTTTTTTAAATACCATCAGTGTGGTTAACAATATGAGTTAAAGTTTTATGACAAAACATCGGTCAACACAGTAGTGTCGAGGAACTAGTCCATCATCATCATCCATAATCACTCCACTGTTTGTCTATAGTCCCATGTACTTTAGGTATTTATAGTCCTAGTAGTATACCTAGGGCTAGAGTGATAGGTGATGACCTTTGTATATTAAACCAACCGCATTCGTCCGTGTCAGTTGAATCTTTCATTTAAGATCCTTATCGACAACTTTCAAACCAAAAAACTCATAATTTCTTTATGCATATTCTTGTACTTTTGAATTATTAACTATTATATAATTCTGCACTTGAGAAGTAAATACATCTTTATCATCTTATCTGATGTCTGTCAACTCATGATATGACTCATATATGATTCATATATGACTTTTATCTCCAACTTTCAAGTTTGTTTAAGATTTCCTTATCAAATAACTAAATTTATGACAAATTTTTCAAGTATTGCCATAGATACTTGTAGTACAAAAGTTTCATTGGCACTTTAATATTAGGTATTTATTTCAAGGGTAAAGGGAATAAAAAGATGTATATTTTTTCCTTCAAATACCAAAAAATATACTTAGTTTGGATAGCAGCTAGCGACTTACATTGTTGTGTCATTTTTGTTAATCTTGTAATATTAGGTACCACTCATTGACGATTTTCGTGAAATAGAACATTTTAAAACTAAACAATTTACATTCATAAATCACAGCACGTGATAGTTTGATTACTGGTTTATAATAGAAGAAATTTTAAACGCATTTCTTTAAACAATTTGAACTCTTTCTAAAAATATTGTCAGTCCATTGCGATTAATTCGATATTTCCACAAAAAATTATCTTAACACGATTGAGTGTTTTCTATCCCTGATAATAATAGACAACATGCTTACATATAAATAAAATTAGAACAGCAGATAAAGAATACAATTGAAATAACTGATTTAAATCGCAATACAATAAACTCACGAGAGTGTGACTAACGTTTGTTTGTAAATATTTAGCAAAAGGACGTTTGTTACAATAAAACTGTTTACTTCGATAATAGAAATTTAATTTCTATAGATACTTAAATTAAACAACGTTAAACAATATTAATATACGAGCCAAGATTCTAGAATATGTTTCGTAAGCTCCGTTTAACAAAACATTGGCTTACAAAATGTAACAATAATACATAAATTTTACTAAACCTATATTCTGTAAAAGGGATATAGCAAGGGATCGTCATCATGGGGGCCATGTTCAGGAGTGAAGAGATGGCGCTCTGCCAGCTCTTCATTCAACCAGAGGCAGCGTACACCTCCGTCTCCGAGCTGGGAGAAGCAGGCTCTGTGCAGTTCAGAGATGTAAGTATCACTTAAAAAAGCCTTGAAACATTTTACATGCTTGGAAATTGTCTCTCAACATAGTGTCAATATTTACTTAATGACAAAATTAAACGCCCGTCTATCATACCTTACAGGTAAAAGAAAACAAAAGTGATGTTCTTTTTCTGTATTATTTGTTATCTATATTATTCTCCAAATTACTTTGTCATGTATTCTTCTAACATTTGTAGTACGAATGTAGTAAATACATATAATATGTTTTTTTATTTTACTAAGACTCATATACAAATTTGAAGGTTCCGTTTGTACTTGAAAAGTATAAACGATACCTACATAAGAATGCAACATTTAAAATGTTTATTTATCTGTTCGTTCTGGCTAACCTCAAGAACGTCTGGACCTGGAATTTCATTCTCAGGTAGGTAAGTAGTGCCATAAGAAGTAACTTAGTCTACTTTTTTACCAACTTCAAAAAGGTGGAAGTTCTCAGTTCGTTTGAATGTATATATTACTCTTCCAATAAAATGCGGCTTATCAATTAGGTTTTTTATCGAAAGTCGAGTGTCTTGAAGTTTATACACTGTTTCCAAGTTTTGATATGATGAAGGGATTCTTTAAAGTAAAACGGGTAACAAAAATATCAAACAAAAGTATCAAAAACGATTTAACATGCAGACAGAGCCGCAGATTCAGGCTAGTATGGTACAAGAATAAAGAAAACATAAACTTTACCAGTCTTTATATCTTGTAACATCACCGCAAAATAAATAAGATGCTGGTATTTGTGATAATTTCAAAAATTGAATTTTACGTTAGTATTACAAATGAATGTCACGTATCTTTATTAAGTAATATGTACTTTTCACCATCTTCATAAGAAATACCAAAAAAAAAGTATTTTTTATTACAATATAGTTTTTGCATTTGAATTGTAATTGTCATCGACAAAACTATCACTAAACAGTGATAATGGCCTTTGTACTGTAATCTCCATTAACCTAGAATCATAAGTGCATACTCGATCTCCTTTGAAGTAATAAATATTTCAACATATCTTTTAACATGTTGTTAATAATGTCAAGAGTTCTTTTTGACGTCCAACAAATATTTATTTAATAAGCACTTCTAGAAATTATACTTAAGTAAGTTGAGTTACACTCAAAACTTAAGTGTTGAACCTAAAGGAAATTTAAATGAAACTATACATATGCAGATGGCATGAAATTTTTAACGTAAAAAAGTTATAACTTAGTTTAAAGTTTCAATTTGGAGATCGCATAGAAATGCAAAACTATTTACATTTACAATAATTTATTACATCTCGTTCCATACAGTATAGTCTTGTGTACTTCTTTTTATAATTTATAGGCACAATGACATTATACGAAACATTAGTTAGTTCATAATAGTCAGATGTTAAAATGTCAACCCTGGTTAAACACGCTATCAGAATAACAATATCACTTTAACTCTTACTGACTTTTTTACTTGAGACTTTCTGAGACATTCTGAGAGTATTTAGACACCACTGACATACGGTGAAGGAAAACATCGTGAGGAAACCTGGACTTATAGTTTCACAATTATAAGTTTGAAATCACCAACCTGTCTTGACCAAGCGTGGTGATTAATGCTCAAACCTTCTCCACGTGAGAAAGAGGCCTTGCTCAGCAGTGGGCGTTGATAGGCTGATGATCATGATTTAACTCTTAATTTGAATCGTAATTAAAAATAGTTTACTATATATTTAGATTGTATGAAGTTCGTAACTACAAAAAGGTTGGTTGGTCGGTTGCTTAAAATATGACTTTCGTCCGTGCAAGACGTGCACAGTATATTTTGCCAGTGTCCTGTAAAATGCAGGAGACACGATCCGGGATTAACATTTGAAAAATAAAATAACAGAGCTTCGACTGAAGTCAAAATTAGGAACAATGTTAGTAGATCTTAAACAACATAAATTCAATTAGATGCAAACATAGGAGATATATATACCGTATAATGCATACAAAAAGGTCATCGAGTTGAATTCTGATCACTATGTCGCATGTTAGTACTAGTCTGTCAAGGTGATTTTGTTTTGGCTCTTTCTTTATATTCCTCAGCGTTGGCAAGCTCGTTACTTATGGTGTGCCAATTTGATTACAATTTCTGTTAATGAATTTTACGAATAAAGTTCTTGGTTACAATGATATCTATACTATATATAAAAGAAAGTCTTGTTAGTTACTCCGCTTATAACTCAAGAACGGCTGAACCGATTTAGCTGAAAATTGGCAGAGAGGTAGTTTATATATATACTTTTATTTTTATATAATAGGATACTTTTTATCCCGTTCAACAGCATTCCCTTGGGACTTGAAATGAAATGTCAGTCACTATAAAACGTGGAATAACAAATCACAATTGACAGCTATGCAATTGACATATAATGACAGACATGTACCTAATGACGTAATGATGATAATTAGATATTTGTAACAGATCTTCTACTATATAAAAATAAGTCCGGTTTTCCATCCTGACGCTATAACTTCAGAACGAACGAACCAATTTCCACGGTTTTGCATTCGTTAAAATTATTATAATAAACTTAGAAAATCATTGTTTTTCACATGTGAAATGAATGTGAAATGTGAAAAACAAAAAATGTGGTTTACAAAGGAGCACTTCAATGAAACGGATAATAATTTGCGGACACGTATAACGCTTAGAATCGGTATCTACTTTGGATTCACTTTCATTTACTTAGAGAAGTTCAACTAAATAACACTGCATTATTGTAATCGAAATGAATTCATTACTGTTGTGAAATGAAATAAAAAAATTCCTTTTCAAATATAAAAAAAAAATTCTTCATCTTTTCCAGCTTAATCCAGACGTGAACGCTTTCCAACGCAAGTTCGTAAATGAGGTCCGTCGTTGCGATGAGATGGAGAGAAAATTGAGGTACATAGAGGCTGAGGTACATAAGGACAAGGTCAATGTACCCGCTGTTAAAGACATGCCGAGAGCGCCTAACCCACGTGAGATTATCGATCTAGAGGTATGTATACAATATTAGATTCTTCTTACTAATTAGCGAGAAATAACTTACTTAATATTCGAAATATTTAAAAGTCCATAGTAATTTTAACCAAACAATGAGCTCTTGATTTGTATAAAATTCTTTAGTACATATATTGCTATTTTTCACTAAGTATTTATTGAAATAAAAGAAATTATCGCTGAACGATGCAATTTAAAACTTATCAACGTCTATTTAAAATATTCAATCTAGGCATAGAAAAAACTGAACAAAACGCAAAATGCGCATATTGTTTGGCTTTGAAAACACATTTTATTAAAAGGAAAAAAATTACTGTCAACTTTTAATTACACAATATTCCATTAATACTTTTCATATTATTTGTGTTAACTATGCTCGTTTTCTTCTTTAGTATTGAATATTGAAATTTGATGACGTCATTGTTAAATTAGATCGCCATCCTTAACAATCGTTTAAATTACATTACGATTGATAAACTAAATAATAATTTGTCTTAATTTAAAGGCGCATCTTGAGAAAACAGAGAATGAAATTCTGGAGCTGTCGCATAACGCGGTGAACCTCAAACAGAACTATCTAGAGCTGACAGAATTAAAACACGTGTTGGAAAAAACAGAAGCATTCTTCGCCGCTCAAGAAGAAATCGGAATGGATTCGCTCAACAAGTAAGAAAAAGAATGGATCTTAAAAATTATTTTACGACGAAGTCATAATTTTCAATCTGAAAGCCTTTTGAATATACATAGTATCATTAAAAACTCTAAAGACTTCTCAACACCCAATAAAATATCATAGAGTGACGATTATAAGTTACCGTTACCAGCCTCAAAAACTATTTGGGACAAAAAAAGTTACACGCCAAAATTCGCATAACAATTCTTGTACTTCAAAAGAACTTTGCTTACATGATAACTCTAAATTTCGTCATACATGGTGACCTCCGTGTTACTGTTCTCTCCAATAATTTAAATTATCACATATATCTGTAACAGATGTTTAACTGTATATATTTGACACTTATCTGCTTTCTCATCTCCAAGTCTGTAATGAACTATCATTCCTATGTAATTTCTTTAATAGTTATCTCAAAGTTTCCTTCTTTATTGTAACTGGGTTTCTCATCTCCAAATCTATGACCAACCTCTTTGATAAGTAAACTGGGAATCCTTTTATTACTCAGGTTTCTATTATTCCTATGTGATTTATTCAATAGTTATCTCAAAGTATCTTTGTTGTAACTGGTTTTCTCATCTCCAAGTCTGTAACTAACCATTTCGATAAGTAAACGGAGAATCCTTACCTCTTATTGCTCAGGTTAAAGTCTAATTTCTTTTATTGTTATCTCAAGGTATCTTTCTTCGTTCTTCCTGTAGATCAATCATCTCTGACGAGGCCGGTCAGCAGGTTGCGACTCGCGGTCGTCTGGGTTTCGTAGCTGGCGTGGTCCAACGAGAACGTGTTCCCGCCTTCGAGCGAATGTTGTGGCGGATCTCGAGGGGAAACGTGTTCCTGAAACGAGCTGAACTTGACAAACCCTTGGAGGACCCTAATACTGTGAGATATTCAAATATCAAACTACTGATAGTATAATATGCACTAGTAAATGACTAGAATTTATTTATTTAAGGGAAAACATACAGATTATAGTGAAATAAATTATTTCAGTAGAGTAAAAAGAATTGGTCGTTTCTAGTTATTTTTTTTACAAGAAGTGTATGATTAGATTGAGCCCGCCTCTCGTTGCCGAGGGCGCGGGTTCAAACCTGGCAAGTACCAATGTGATTTTTCGAAGTCATAAGTACTTTCTCAAAGCATTTAGACATCACTGACATACGGTGAAGGAAAACATCGTGAGGAAACCTGGACTTATAGTTTCACAATTATAAGTTTGAAATCACCAACCCGTCTTGAGCAAGCGTGGTGATTAATGCTCAAACCTTCTCCATGTGAGGAAGAGGCTTTTGCTCAGCAGTGGGCTCTGATAGGCTGATGAATGAATGTATGATTAGAAATATTTTAAATTAGAAAATAATAATAAAATAGGGAAGTACGAGTATAGCAAGAACATTTACAACAAGGAGTATCAGACATATAACTTACTACAATAAACATTTATAAAAAAAATAAAGTTACATAATACATTTTTGGAAAAAATAATAATCCTTACTGTGATAATTTCCAGGGCAACGAGATCTATAAAACGGTTTTCGTGGCGTTCTTTCAAGGCGAGCAGCTCAAGTCCCGTATCAAGAAAGTTTGCACCGGTTTCCATGCCTCCCTTTACCCTTGCCCGCCCTCTAACACTGAACGACTTGACATGGTCAAAGGAGTCAGAACTCGACTTGAAGACCTTAATATGGTAATTAACTTACACTTACAATTAAGTATGTTCAATCTTCTATCATAGTTATGTCATAGAATTTTTGGTAAAAATTATGATTAAATGTCCTATTTAATTCCAGGTGCTAAATCAAACCCAAGATCACAGACAACGTGTGTTGGTCAGCGTTGCAAAGGAATTAGGCAGTTGGTCTATAATGGTGCGCAAGATGAAAGCCATTTACCACACCCTCAACTTGTTCAACATGGATGTCACCAACAAATGTCTTATTGGCGAATGCTGGGTGCCGACAGCTGATCTACCAAACGTGCAAAAAGCCCTCGTTGACGGTTCCGTACGTATAAAAACAGATACAAATATTACTAAAATCAATATATACATGTATATTTGGAAAAATGTCCTATTGCTAATATTAATTGAATATTTCATATCCAGAATGCTTGCGGCAGTTCTATTCCATCGTTTCTGAACTCCATCGAGACTGATGAAGTCCCTCCAACCTTCAACCGCACCAACAAATTCACTCGCGGGTTCCAAACTCTTATTGACGCCTATGGAGTCGCTTCCTACAGGGAATGTAATCCAGGTATAAAAAATTAACCTTATATGCTGAAACATATAATTTTATTGATTTATAGTCTTATATCTTTGTAATTTCTACTAGACTTTTTTAATGATATAGTGGTCTATTTTATACCAATGTAACTAATTGTTCCATACTATTGTCACAGCGCTGTACACCATCATTACTTTCCCGTTCTTATTCGCTGTGATGTTCGGAGACTTTGGTCACAGCCTCATCATGGCCGTCTTCGGTCTCTGGATGGTCGTCAAAGAAGCTTCTCTCGCCGCAAAGAAATCTAACAATGAAATCTGGAACATTTTCTTCGCCGGTCGCTACATCATACTCCTCATGGGCTGCTTCTCTATGTACACTGGACTGGTTTACAACGACATATTTTCGAAATCCATGAATATCTTCGGTTCCGCTTGGTTTAATCCTTATGATAATGAAACGCTTGAAAGAAATGAAGCTTTCACGTTGGACCCTAAAGCTTCTTATGTGGACAAACCATATTTCTTCGGTATCGATCCTATCTGGCAGGCAAGTTTAATAAAACCTAGTTTTTAATTACATTGTGATTAACCATTTTATTAATAAAATAATTCTTCCAGACTGCTGAGAATAAGATTATCTTCCTCAACTCTTACAAAATGAAACTGTCTATCATATTCGGCGTCATTCACATGATGTTCGGTGTTTGCATGAGCGTCGTCAACTACAAGTAAATGTATACGATATTTTTAAGCAGCAGAAAATATAGGAGAATCTTTAAAACATTACTTTAATTATTAGAAAACAAAATTAATGTAATAAATCTGAATGTTACCAATAGTTTTAATAAATTTACAGCTTCTTCAAGCATCGTTACTCAATCTTCTTGGAGTTTCTTCCACAAATCATTTTCCTGTTCCTTCTCTTCGCCTACATGGTTTTCATGATGTTCTACAAGTGGGTGGCTTACAGCACGTTAGCTACAGGTTAGAATATTTTGCTAATGAATTTGTTTTCTATAGTCTAAAACATTAAATCCTTTTATAGCCCCTCACAAACTTCATGAAAAATAGAGCTAAGTGCAGATGAAAATTCTTTTGAATTGCTGTATAATTAATTATCTTTAGATCTAAGACTTTATCGAGTATTCGTTAAAATGAAATTAATATTTTCGGATTATTACCATATTATAAAAACTTCTTACTCCTTCTTTTCGAGTACTTTGCAGCAACTGTGATCACGGGCAGATGGGATGAGAATGTCATTAACATAACGCGTAGTGGTCCGAAAATATTCACAATTGTTTTAAATCTTGCTTAAAATAATCGTATGTTTCAGATGAGGCGTATACCCAGGGTTGTGCGCCGTCAGTGTTGATTCTGTTCATCAACATGATGTTGTTCTCGAGTACGGAACCCGAGGGCGGCTGCAAGGAGTACATGTTCGAGGGCCAGGGGGACGCTACAAACGCGCGTTCGTTCTGGTCGCGCTTTGTTGCATACCGGTCATGTTATTGGGAAAACCGTTGTACTTGTTGTGCGCCGCCAAGAAGAAGTATGACAAGGTAGGCTACATACGATTTCCATTTGTGACTTTAGTCTATGAAAAATATAGACTGTACAATTATAAATGAGATTAAATATATAGATTTATATCACTATACTGTTACTCAAATCCCTAACGAATATTATAAATGCGAAAGTACCTCTGTCTGTTTGTTATGCTTTCACGCCTAAACCACTGAACTGATTTTAATGAAATTTGGTACAGAGATAGAGTTTACCTTGAGAAAGAAAATAGGATAGTTTTTATCCCGGACTTTTGAAAGGTTCCCTTGGAAACGCGGGCGAAGCTGCGGGCGGAAAGCCAGTATGGTAATATTCAAGAAAATTTCCAGTTTAAATAGACCATTTATTTCTGTTCCAGCCGCAATCAAACGGTAGTGTGAATCAGGGCATAGAAATGCAAGAACAGACTGATATAGAACAACAGCCAGCCCCGAAGCCCGCGTCCGGCGGACACGACCATGATGATGAACCGTTCAGTGAGATCATGATCCATCAAGGAATACACACCATCGAATACGTGCTCAGTACAATCTCCCACACAGCTTCGTACCTACGACTATGGGCGCTGTCACTCGCTCACGCTGGTGAGTTATAACCATAAACAATATATGTATAATACTTACAGATTAAAAATTATTATGTCATAATTATTGTGTTTATAATTTTGATTAAAAATAACATATATTTACAGTAATACATAATGTTAGTATTAAGTTTTCCAGCAACAAATTCTTATTTAATAAGTGTCAATCTATTTATTCTTCTATGTATTTGGTTGGGTTGAATTGTTACAATTTTTTATGGTTTTATATTATAATTTCAGACATTTACAAAATTTAAATATACTATTGCAATTTTTCCCTAAACTAGTCATGGTACAGAAATTTTAAAATTGAAAACAGCAAAAAATATTGATTTTAAGTTAGACCATGTTTGGAATCAAGACTTCTATTAAAATATCTTACAAAATAGTAATGACTAATATAAACTTTGTTAATGCAGAGTTATCCGAGGTGCTATGGAACATGGTGTTCCAGCTCGGTCTCAAGGACCACAACTGGGTCGGTGGCATCAAACTGTACGTGGCATTCATGGTCTGGTCTCTCTTCACACTGGTCTTCCTCGTCATGATGGAGGGACTTTCAGCTTTCTTACATACGCTGCGTTTGCATTGGTTTGTTTATTTAAAATACACCTTATTGTTATTAGCTTAAAGTCGAATGTCGCAAAAATTTCAAAAATTTATAATCTGTTATCAAATTTGGTTCATAGACTATTGAAGTTTTATCAAGTAACTATTTAAATTATACCCTATTTTTATATACTTATATTTCAATATATTTGAAATTTATAATCGAATTTCGTAGTTTTTTTTTATAGACTATGCAAGTTTTAGTAACGTTTTATAGAATTACATATTAATATTCCACATTGTGGAATTTTAAAGAAGGTTCCAAATAATAAAACTATTTTTTTTTCAGGGTGGAATTCATGAGCAAATTCTACGCTGGTTTGGGATACATCTTCCAACCGTTCTGCTTCAAGACGATCCTCGAACAAGAGGATGAAGATTAACTAAGTACGGATCAATAATATTTTGAACTAAAACGTAGTTTAGGAATGAACAGTATTGGCATAAAATTTTATGAAATAGGTCACAATGAATCGTTAAATAAAATATTAATGCATGTTAAACGTTTTTTTATTTAAGTACATAATATATTTTGAATTTATTCCACAAAAGATTATACGCAGTTCCATCTATCTGAATAAGCGAAAAAAAAAACATAAATTTTACAAATCTTAGAACAAATATATCATATTCTCAAATTCGTCTTAGCTTTTTCCAAAATTTCTTTTTTTTTCTTAGGGTAGTCTGGATGAACGTTGTCGGTTACAAAGATACCTATTACATTTACATAACCGCAATAATGGGCCACAAGTAACTGAAAATATTTACTTGAATTTTTTATCCCAATCATGAAATCACGAGTGTTCATCAATAACTTATCGTTCTTTTATTAAAAACTAGAAGACCTGGCAAACTTCGTATCGCTCTATAATCAAGAAATATCTATTACGTTTTTTTATTTATATTTTTTGGAGTTTACCAGTAAGCCATAAATCTCCGTGTTATTGAAGTGCGACAGAATGATTGACATATTAGTTAGTTGTCAAATCTAATGTCAAAAAAAAAAAACGTTTGTATGGGGAATAGAAAAGGGCTGTTTTTATGGTTTTCCCAGTAATGAATCAATTTTTTTCAGCTTTTATACCTTCCCTGAACCTCCACAAACATTTCAAGACTAAGATAAGATAAATCCGTTTCAGCTGTTCTCGAGTTTTAGCGAGAACTAAGGAACAGCAATCCATTTTTATATATATATATGTAGAAGATTAGCTTCTCGGGTAGAATTCCAAATGCGGTTCCCAATGCGGGAGCAGGCAACATGAAACTGTATATGAAAGGAACATGGATTTTTCCAGATTAACGGCGCAAATACTAGAAGACTGACCCTGTGATTTACTTATACATATCCGTGCAATTATTATTATATTTTAGCATGAAAACCTGTCGTGGGTCTTAGATATTACAAAAAAAAGTGCTTAAGTAATCGAGTCATTTTCAAGTTATGCGCTTAGCAGCATCCATTTTTTTTTATATAGGTAGATGACAGCTTTTTTTCCTGTTATATCTCAGATTGTATTTTAAACTAATTAGATGAAGAATTAATTACAGTCAATAGACTACATTAAGAACTACATACGATTTTAAAACACTTTTTTTTTCGAGATAATTTTATTTAAGTACCTGAATAAGTGAAAGGAGAATCTTCAGGAAAATCATTTTTTTTTAATTAAATACAAAACCCTTTTTTCTTGGTATTTTGTTTGTACCTAACTATAATCTTTTTTTCTTTTATAAATAAGGAAGCTTCATTTAAATTCAGATTCAACCAAACGATGAACCAATGAAATCTATTGGCAAATTTTCCTTAAACATAAAAATAGTACTAATAATAATAATCATTATTATAAATAACCATATTTTAATAATTTGAATCGCAAAAACGAGGCTAATGTGCTTAAAAACAAATTAGGTATCTATTTTTAGAGTATAAGCTTTTGAAATCTGTTGAATAGTGCTAATGGATTAAATTAACATTTATTTCTCTTAAAAAAGATACTTAATAAAAAAAACTATACGAATATTAGCAATTTATATTTATCTGGAATTACTGAATTAACACAAAATCATTATTATTGAGACGAAAAGTTGAGTCTAATTACCAGATAACATTTATGACAAGGATTTCCTATTGTTCATTGTTAAGTGATAGTACTACTTATAAACTAGACTATACTTAGCAACAGTATGTATGGACCAAATTCGTCATTACACTAAATACGGTTCCCGTTTTTCATTCAGGAACATACTATAATAATATTAATGTACGAATATTTATCAATGAAAAACTTCAAAAGAATATGTAGTGTGATATGCCAGCGAAGAATAAGCATACACTAACCAATTATAACCAATTAAGGCAATCTGTTACAAGCTAAAATATAGGTATATTTTTTGAACAGAAATTGAGCCCTTCAATAAAACCTCGCACATTTTTACTCTTTTCCAAAGAAATTCGAGATATACCTAAAATTGAAATAAATATTATTGACACTTAGTTACTATTCTTGTATATAGATGTATGTATATAGAAATACTTGTGTGTGAAATACTTATAAAATGAAAATAAATTTTATTTTATTGACACATTATTTTCTTCCCTTGATGCATGTTGTGTTGAAAATTTAACGAACATCGTCGGGGCTTTGTCGTTCAATCTATAAAATATTTTATAGCTAGTGACGTTGCTGATTTCAAAGAACTCTTGGCCGTGTGAACTAGAAGATTTCTGCATTGAGATCGGGGTGATTATGCAGTACTAGGGATAGTTTTAATTATGTCATTTCAATTATAATATTTATCTAAGTAAGTTTAGTAGTTTTCTGGAATCTCTGAGGGCTGTGAAATGCACTCTAAATAACTTGTTTATAATAATTAAGGTTCTTATAACAGTCAATGAATAAACATTTAACAATAAAATATATCCTTATAAACCCAATTCTACGATTAGTGGTATCATAGTTTCTTTCAAAATCAATCAAAATTAATTCAAACATAATAAACGATATAAATTTGTAAGACTTGAGTAACACGTCTGTCTATGGTAAATATTTTAAGATTATTAAAAAAAATCCGTTACTGAAAACAAAACAAAATAAATACATAATAGAACCCTTTCACAAAAGGTATGTTTCAATGTTATGTAATTAGTTAGCCGTACATAGAGTCACATACTTACTTCTGGAGTCCACATTAGTGGGTACCATATAATGGATACTACTGTGAGAAATATCTTCACCTGTATATCAATAGATAAGCAAACAATAGAAGGGTTGTTCCTTGATTTAATAGCAACTAAGCCTGCAGGTTTCCAGCCTTATAATTTATAATTTTTATCTCGCAAATAATTTTCTTATAAAATTCAGAAGTTTGCAATCATATTTCTTTTAAAGCATAATATGTTTTAGTACATCAATTTACGTACAATTGGTCACATGGTATCGTTTACAACTTAGGGTAAGTGAAGACGTATGAGTCAATGAACAGCTGTGCAAGTCAGCCGGCGCGCGCGCAGGTTGTAGTCTCACACAGAGCGCTGCGCGCGCCACGCGCTTCTTACGACAGGTGTTAGCCGCTAAGATTTACGTGTGAAATGCCTTAACATACATAAAACAGTGACTTATAAGAAAAACTATGTGTTAATTAAGAATAAACATATATATTTAGTCGTATTATATATAGTTGTATCATTAAGGATGCGTAATATTGATAAGTATTGCATTAGTTATGTTTAATATAATGCGAGTGTCCAATAATCCGAGAATGTGACAGTGGAATTTATTGTATCAATGAAATTTAACACGTACGTACAAAATAATTTTAAATTGATAAAGAATAAATTTTAAGTAATATAATACAAAGTAGGTGTGTAGTATTGAGTGGTAGTAATTAAAAATTGTATGTGAAATTGTTTTAAATTGTGTGTCGTGGGGGCGGGCTTATGGGGCAATGTGTGTCCCGGGATCAACCGGGATCATACGCCTTCGCGCGGCATTACGATGCGGAGAGCTATGCCAGTAGTGTAAGCGGAAGTACAAGGAAAGTAAGTAAAACATATAAATTAGACTATATCATAGTTAAAACACATACAAAAAAGACACAAATCTACTTCTTCTACCTGGCAACTTCCCAGCTTTAGTCAGAGTCTTATTTTTTACGACCGGCCGCCTGCCTGACATCAACCCTCTTTAAGAATCATAATCTTAAAAAAGACACATAAGTCACACATAAAAGACACATATATAAATAATTAACTTGATTGTGCTTGAGGTTTATAATTTTAATTTGTAAATATATTTTTTTATTTTAGTTTCCGCATAATTTCGAGGTCTTATGACTAAGAATATGTTAATGAATTAGTTACAATAATGTTGAAATAAATTTATTGCAGACCATAAAAGGATGAAATTATAACATTTGTTGTATTTTAACTTAAAATTTTTGTATATCAATAAATTCCAATAGCTTTTAGTTTTTAATGTAGTTTCCTAAATTGGTATCACTTTTACATCAAAATTCATGTAAAACGGGGTGAAGAAGAAACAGATGCATGCTTATATAAATAAACATTTGTATTTATAACGCTTATTGTACAAATTAACAGACATTTAACAGATGTAATGTTAAATCGTTGCACTTCTATAAAAGATACATTTCACGACTTTATATTTGTTTGTGAGAAGTTTCCGTAATTAAAGAGATTGAATATACATTCACATACGATTATGTAACTCTTTCTTCCGGTTATATGAATATAAAAAAATAAATTTCATTTAGAATTAAGTGATAAAAGTCACAGTTTCTCTTATGCACACTTGATAATTGTATTTCCTACTAGAATTGTCGTTAAGTAAACCAGTTCTAAAACTTTTCCTATACTCAAATTACGTTTAAGTATGCTTACCACATGTGTGTCGCTAAACTACATACGAAGCGTTTCCCGTTTATTATTCAATAACCTAAGTTAACAGTATAGTGTGGAACGATTTGTGAATGGTAAACTGTTAACGCTCCGTGACGTGACATGTCTATGCAAACATGTGGTAATCATACTGAAGTTTTATTTGTTTTAAAATACTTTTAATGTAATTGAAACGTTCGTAAATTAATAATAATATTAAATTATTTCATGATCTTTCTGAAAGTTTATCAGCTGTCTCATTTGTATTTTTAATTTCAAATCACATTTATTCCTAAAGATAAAACCGAAAAACTTTAAGAAACAAAGCAATAAACTAAGCCATGATAATCTTTTTCTGTAATAAAATAAAATCCATTTTAACAAGTACTTCGTACAGCCTTGCATTCATAATAGAATTTATATCTAGATGAGCTTGAAAACGTGACGAGAAACAATTTAAAGATGGTTGTAACTGATATTTTTGTCCAGTTAGAATTTACAATTAAACGGTGTACCACAGACACACAATTGTTCAATGGACACAATGGGGGCCAGTGACCCGATTATCTCCCTTTAAAATGCGTTACCCAGTTATGTTGACAGGTTCACATACGCAACTTGAAACAAATTGAACGGTTGCGTTTTCATTGTTCTTATAAACAGATTCCCAAAGTTTAGATATTTTTATATCAGACCACTGATAGCATCGTGAACAAATCAGCAAGATTCTTAAAGTCAAACCAGTCATTTGTCAGCAGCATTGTCATATAAATTGGTAATAATCGTATAATTAAAAACAAATAACGGCAGTCACAGTAAATTTTGTTTCATTAAATCAATGTCAAGGTTTAGTTGTTTTTAGCGATTTACGATTTCAATTTCACTTCATATGAATTGTAATATGTTATTTTTATGTTTTATTGTGATTGATATGTGCTTTCTTGTACAAGTAGTATGTGTTATTACGTAGTAATTACGTTTTCACCATCGCGATCGTTACGGAGTCGCGTCTAGTCGTTTACAAGTCGTTGATTCCTTTAATAACAACTTACTTAACGAGATTTCATGATTTTTTTTATCATTATCAGAGGTCGAACTATTACCTTAATCCTTTCTTCCTATAAATTTTAAAGTAGCCTAAAAAAAACAACGAAAAACAGTCTAAAGAAGTAATTATTATGGACGATAATCGTAATCAATTTAAGTGCCTCTTGAATCAAAATTAATAAAATTAATTGCTTATGGCGTAATTAAAGAACATTAAAATTCAAATGATCGTAATATTGATAATATATTACTTAAATAAGCGTGAAGTTTTGGTGAAATGAATTTTTAAAATTTATATTGAAACTTCATTTTATCTCTCTTCATGTACTTTTTTTTATGGCAATATTCACACGGAAAATGTGGAATATTTTGCCAATGTCAACATTACTATTCGTTAAACGAATTATAATATTGAATACTGTGTAGAAGTTATTGTAACAAATAAAAAAATATAAGTCAAATAGTTTTAATTTTAATAAAATGTAGTACACTGATCTTGGGTATACAAATGTTTTCTGTTATTTAGAAAAAAATATCATAAGCACTGGATACGTATACTTCCTCAATTTATATACTAAGAAAAATTTCAAGCACAAACGTTATAAAAATTCGATAGAATTATAAACATTGATTAAAAAATATATGGAAATATTTCTTAATTCGAACATAAGATTTATAGCTATCAATTTATAACTTTAAATTATGTAATATACAAACTCGACGTGAAATTTAATTATCAATTAAGAGGAAGTGATTATATAATATTAATAGTGTATTTAAGATTTTAAATTTAAGCAAAAAATATGATAAAATACAGAAATGAAGGGAATCCCAAAATAAGTTTGAAAAGCACCTCACGGAATATCTGCGACGTTGTATCAATTTTAACAATAATAGATTATGGAATAGAATTTAACAATAATTTTCACTTAAATATTTGAAAGTGAAAGTGAAAGGATGCAAAGATATTGCTTACGATCTTCGAATTTTAATGAACTTTAACCACGAAATAGATCATGAATGATGAATTTAGTGAAGGAACTTTTACCCCTTCGACAAAATTCTGCGAGACGAGATACTTACGTCACTTTATAGTATTAGGTCTTACGTCACTTACGTCACTTTATAGTATACCCTAGTATCTTTAAGTAATTGTACTTCTTCTAATTGATGAATAAAAACTATTATAAAATAAGCAGCATTATTCCTTTTTCTAGTTGCTTTAATTTACTGTCTGAAAAGTACAATTACTCCGAGAGCCAATAAACAAGTCAACGAGTATAAAATAAATATAAAAAATATTGATGTTCAAAGTACTTGATTGCAACAAGCCCAGAGTATTTCTTGTTTTTGTTTAACCACATCCTATCATGGGGTAGAAAAAAGGAATAAAGACGTGCACATATGTACATGTACATACATGCATTCAAAATAAACTTTGTATAAGCCGACGACAATTATCTAAGTTTTTAAGTTTTTATAAATGATTTTGATATGAAGAATTTTTGAGGAAACTTTCTTTGTGAAATATTATTCAAAAATTTATATAAAGTCAGTGGTGGCCTAGTGGTTAAAGGGCCCGCCTCTCGTTGCCGAGGGAGTGGGTTTAAACCTGGCAAGTACCAATGTGATTTTTCGGAGTCATATGTACTTTCTGAGAGTATTTAGACACCACTGACATACGGTGAAGGAAAACATCGTGAGGAAACCTGGACTTATAGTTTCACAATTATAAGTTTGAAATCACCAACCCGTCTTGAGCAAGCGTGGTGATTAATGCTCAAACCTTCTCCATGTGAGAAAGACGCCTTAGCTCAGCAGTGGGCTCTGATAGGCTGATGATGATGATGAATTTATATAGAAATATATGTTATATGTATATTTCTATATACTAAATGCGTAATGAAATTGTTAATACACATTTGAAATCACTTATAAATGTAACTTGTTTGTAACAAATTCTTGTTATTTATTTGATTGCGTTTAAAATTCAACTATATTTATAAAAACATAAATTATTTTTTCATTCCCTAGCTTGTTACTTTTCAAAGAAAGTAACGAATGGTTTTATATCTCTATATGTTATGAAATCTATGTGATCAAAATATAAAGTTACAAAACTGGTTCTAATATTACACTAAACTAAATTACTTTAAAGTTACGCTTGGCACAAGATATGAAATTAAATAAAAATTTGCTCTATTATCATTAATTACCTAATTAAGTTACGTTTTGATGAAATAAGAACAGATTTTAGTGATATTTTTTGGCCGAACAATTAAAAAAAAAAACTATTATTTATGTCTTAAAACTTCCAAATCTAACGTTATTCATTCAAATGAAACTCTTATTAAAGTGATTTATATTCAATATTTAACGTAATTCTACAAGCATGTAGTTTTACAGAACGGCTGTAAACATGTCTCGTTAAAGGAAATGTTGCCTCTCACGGCTGCTAGAGTCGGTACATAGTAATATATGAAATAATTAAGGCTGAGACCGATTGTTAAGATGTTTCTATTTCAGGCTTTACGACTTATGCTTTACTCTTGTTTGTTTTATATATAATGAGAACTTTCCCTTTTGTGGCAGATTAATTTACCTTTGTATATATGCGAATGCGGTTCCATGAGACGATAAAAAAAGTCATGTGGATATTGTTACTGAGTAAAAGTCTCTCATTCGTAATGTGATATCAGAACTTGAGACTCGGTACACTTTTGTATAAATCATAAACACGATCACAGTAAATGCAAATAGTATCAATAAATGTAGGTGAGAGATATTTGTTTCATATGTCTGATAGAATTGCTTTCTAATTATTATTATTAAAGCTCAGAGTTAAATCTTTTTAGAATCTTGATATATTTTTATTAATATATTATAAACATGTAGCGATAATATGTAGTCGTTTTGTTTATTTATGGTATCTGTTATTTTACTTAGGAGGTAAAAACCGATCAAGGTTATAAAAGAATTTGTCACTTACATACATATCTAAAATGTCTTAAAAACATAATCTTTTTTAGGTTCTTATGTATATGCTGCAACCGACGTTATTGTTACATACAAGTTAAAACAGAAATATATTTAAT